CTTTTACATGACAGTTTGTGCATTAGTATTCAGAGTTTAAGACGATTTCTTTTGTTTCGGGTTGTAAATGCTTCTGAATCATCACACGGAACCTTCAAGGGGCAGTAAAAGCCTCCACTGAAAGCAGACTGATAAACTTCAAGTTGCACTGTAAAATAAGAACAAATACATCAACACTGAATTAAAATGGTGGTGAACCCACAGAGGATTCTCACCATCAGCACTCTCATTAAACTTGTTACCAGCAGCAGCAGACACTGTCAGCACAGAGGCTCTGATAAAGCCACCGTTCACTATTTATACAGCGTCATGATTTTCCCCTAGGAGATAAATAAAGTATTTATCTATCTATCTATCTGCTAAACAGAGGATAAACAGTGGCACATCTAAAAAGTGGAAAGGAGGGTGAATATTGGACTTAGATTTATCATTAACAACTTCATGAGGTGATAATATGTCAAAGTTGTGAGTCTGTCAGATTGTTTTGGTGTTCCTCTGCCATCTGGTGGCCAAAAATTGAACACCGTAGCTTTAAGGTGGGAAAACAGAAATCCAAAAAAGCGTTGAACTTCTCTGTCAACACAACTCAGTGTCAGCTGTCAGAACTAAAACCAAACAGAGGAATAAGACAGATGCCATTCAGGTCATTCCGGTCCACCTTAAAGTTGGTTGAGGTCAGGGCTCAGTCAAGATCTTCCACATTAGACTGGCAAAACCAGTTGTCTTTGCTCTGGCGTATTTCCCTTAATCGCAAAGTCTTAAATATCATTGTATGTAGCGTTAAGATTTCCCTTCAGGTATCGGTGGTGTGGAGAGTGTAGGTCTATTTGTTGATGTCAATCCAAAACAAATTTCCCTCATTTTTCTACAAACAATGTTTCGCCATCATCTCAACATGTCTGTATTTGTTCCGACAGTCTTCAGGAGCTTCTGCTGAGGTTTGACAACCTGATATTTGTCTGGTTTTCATAATGACTTCACCTCCCTCTTTTCTGGAGAGAGATGGTCTCATAAGCCTCCCGAGAGCCCCATATCGGGAGTGGACCTCACTGACAGCTTGATATCTGATATTTAATGAAAGGCCAAAATTGATTCGAGCTCTGTTTCCTCCTGTTTGCCGCTCCTGGCCCTGACCTTCAATCAGACTAACTGACAATCCTCCTTTCCACTCGCAGCCTCACACCGCAGCAGCTGTTTTCACTGATTTATACACATTCAACCAAAGAACAGGGGGGCGGGACTAATTAGAGAAACCAGCTGCTGTTGTGATCAACTGAGAGGAAAACCTGCAGACTCAACCTCAACAGTGCAGGATTTCACACCACTGATGCACACCAAGACGATATGTCGGTCAGAGGACGAAGCGGGTCGACTGAAGGTCCCGGTTCCACATTTTCATCCGTATCAGCTCTTTTACAGATCAAAGCCCCCCCCCCCCAGCGACACCCACTGCCTGCCACTGATCCTCTATGGGGAAACACAAGAGAGGAAGGGACAAACAAACCGGGATATGTCACAGATGATAACGCCACGCCGCTGGACGAGACAGATGCTCGGGCAGGGGTTTCAGAGCTGAGGTTGGAACACTGTCACATCTGATCTTGGTTTTGCGTCGCGCTGCCAAGTCAGTCAGAGTCAGACTGTCGGTTGGTTCAGGGAAGCAACGGAGGGTCTGAAACCAACCGGCCAATCAAGTCTGAGTTCGGACAATGGAGAGCAATTAATCTATTTTTGCATCTTCACATGTCATTATTACCATCAAACTATCTTGTACATTGTCATCCAATTAAGACAGTGGATTAGGTTCCTCAACTCATCTTTGGTAAACTGAAAAAGTCTCAACCTGGAGATATTTGATGTGTAAAACTGGTGGAGTTCCCCTTTAAAATGACACAATCTGAGAAGGAAAAGGAAAAGTCAACATAGTCCAGTCCATAGACTTTGTGTCATTTCAAGAGTCACAAGCCAAAGAGTTTGGGAACCTCTGGTTTATTCAACCAAAAATTCTTCAGATTGTCTTGGTGACTCAAAAAACCGGTAGGCTTATCATTTAGTCATAGTCATAGTCATTAAAAGCTGTACGTTGTTCACTGTTGTAGTGTTGTTACGTTATGTTATCTTACGTTATGTCAAGTCTTGTTCTGTTATGTCTTGTAATGTCTTGTTATCACTTTCTTTGTCTTTATCTTGCTTCACCAAATAAAATATGAACCAAAAATAGAGCTTTTCTTGTTGACTTAATAGTGCTTTGTAGCACCATGAAGGTTCTCCACTAAACCATTTGAACGTTGTGCCACAGGGAACCTTTTTAACATGGTGGATTACTTCCCCAGAAGGGTTATACTCAAAATTGTTCGAGTTTAAAACCATAGATAATCTGTTAGTTATGGCAGCGCAAATGCTTGTGCAGGGACCAGTGAATATACTATATATTTATATAAAATCTGCTCCTCTGGACGGGCAGTCGGTCCAGCCTGAAGAAAACCAAAACATTTAATAGCTGAAAATCCTGTTTGAAGAGTAGAAAAAACATGCTGGATCTGCAAAGACTTCAGCATCCTGCAGCTGTCTGTGTGGCTTCCTGCTGCTGCCGTATCACTGGAGGGAGATCGCAGGTCTCCAAGCTACAAGCTGTGATTTGTACTGCAACATCCTGCAGGGATCCACTGCCTGACTGGGATGAACATGCAACAAGAACCGCATGTCACATGCCAGGTTCACACTCACATGTTATAAAACTTGCGTCATGTCAGTGCTTCACCTGAACAGCCACAAGCTTCTCCAACCTCTTGCTTAAGTCTTGTCCTGAAGCCACAAACACACAGCAGGTTTCTTTACACTGGAAGCACTGACATTTCACAGATACCATAGGTATCTACTGCAGGTTTTCAGCTGACAGTGACAAACTGCTTTGCAAAGACTGGTGCAAAACGTGAATAAAAAGCTCCTCAATAGCCTCTGAGATCAATGGACTTTCTCACTAAAACTAAAATGTACCAATATCAGCTCAGATTTCCCTTTTAACTTGTATCCTTTGTCCCAGTCCCCCAGCCGTACCAGTTTGGTTGCCTGTTCATATCTGGCCTCGCTGTTTGGCATCACCCCCTTATTTGCTTTATCTTGTATTTACTGTTCTGTGTTCTCGATAATCCCGTATCACTGTTCTCTGTCGTTTCCATGTGCGAACTGAATGCAGATTTTCTCCCGAGGGACAGTGAAATATCCATCCGTCTGTCCATACATTCATCTCTCAATGCCTACTCTAAGATTCACGGGAAATATAATCTTAAGTGACCAAGACGAGGTCTTTCCTCAGAGTCCAGCAAGTTTTATTTTCCAGTGAACGTTGTCTGTATGTCTACAAATAAAGATAATTCTATAATTAGACAGACTCCATAAAGGAAGGAGAGAAAAACAGACTCCCACTCTTCCAGATTAACTACTCACATGAATATTCAGCACATTCGTGGTTGGTTGGTACTGTTATCTCATGCCACACTAGTTTGTCATTTAGTGGTGTAGTGGATAAATGATGTTGTTATGTTAAATATGGACCTGACATCTTCCCATTATGGAGATTCAGGATTTCAGTTTGCCTCTGTATCTCTTGAAAAATCATTTGAACTAAGTAGGAAGTGCATTCTTTTTAGCTGAATGGCTCTGACCCCCCCTTCTCCCCCTCCCCTCTTTCCTCCCCCCTTTCCCACCCTATCCGCTTCCTCCTCCTCCTCCCTCTTCCCCTCTCCTGGCTAAACCAAACAGGCCACCGCAGTGCTGCCTCTGACCGGGTTTGATGGACTGAGCTGCAGCACAGATCTGAATTGTCAAACCCGTGGATGATGATGATGATGATTTTTATTATTATTATTATTATTGTTATTATTATTATTTTACTTCCCCCTTTTTTAAACTGAATGGCTCTCTTCCAAACTGATGGCAGCCGCTTGCTGCACCCAACCATCTCCGGCCGAAGTGGAGCCTCTAAGTGGAATTAGTGCAAATTGGGGAGTTTATATGAAAAGTGCGTGCGGCTGTTGAGTGTGTGATCAGTCAGTGGTGTCTCACTGAGTCTGCTCGACTCTCAAAATCCCCTCCAACCCTCCCTGACTCCGCTCTATCCTCCCTCAACTCCTGCTTTTACCAACAAAAAAAAAAGAAGTGAGTTGACTAATATCACAGGAAATCAGAGGATGAAAAAACTGAAAGTGGAGCTGCTTCCTCTGCTCGCCAACTGGCTTTTGGTGTCGATGTTGTTTGAGAGCCCAAACAGTCGGCGTTTGTCCCCTCTGTCATGTCTTCCCCTGGCAGAGTTGATTAACATTTCACTCACGTCCAATTCAAAGTTCAGGCTTATAGATGAGGGGAGGCGAGGGAGAGAGGGATGGGGGAGGAGGAGGAGGAAGAAGAAGAAGGAGGAGGAGGAGGGAGGAAGAGAGGAGGGAGGAAGGGAGGGGGGGGGGAGGAGGATGGATGGATAAAGCAAAACCCTCCAAACACCCACGTCGGGCCAGTTTCTCCTGCCAGCCTCAAAGCTTCTGCATGTGAATGTGAATGTGAATGTGAATGTGCATCGACATGAGCTCTCCCTGCCTGGGAAGAAGGAATGGGGGGATGGAGGGATGGAGGGATGGAGGGATGGCGCGGCGCAACACTTTGCGGGCACTTCTACCAGGCTGCGCTGCGTGCGTCTGAACCTGGATGCAACAGCCTCCTTCCTTCCTATCCATTATCCTGGCACGGATCGGAATGATAATCAGGTGGGAGGTCGGGTCCTGAATGTTTGACAATCAGTGCATGCACGGAAACTCTAATATTCAATATCTGCCATAACTCAACTTGAACACCACTGATCTGTCCATATTTCACAAAGCCGTCATTAAAACGCTTCTCTGCTCATATTCCGTCCCTGCACGCAGCCACCAGCCCGGCTCTCCTCACAGCCAAAGCCCTGCACAGCAAAACCAAAAAAAAAAAAAAAAAAGCCCCGGCTGGTGTCTTACCAATGTGGATGATGGAGTCGGCGCTCACTGTGTTGCATTGCAATATCCACAGGGAATGAAATAACAATATCAGCATTTCCATCTCCAGTTTGAGCCAGAAAGGCGCATCCACGGATCCACCTCGCTGATTTCTGTGCTTTTCTCCAGTGATGAGCAAATCCAAAATAAGCGTCGGTGCGTAAAAGCAGGAGCAGCAGCGGCAGCAGCGGCAGCAGTAGCAGCAGCAGCAGCAGCGGGGTACAGTGTTGAGTGAAATCACCAGCAATAGTAACAAAAAAAAAAAAAACAAATCCCAAAGACCAAACTGTTGGCCGGAGTCGAGAGGAAGAGGAAGGGTAGAAAAAGAAAGAAACAGAAGCTTCCAGGGCTCCGGAGAGAAACAAACCCGGGTAACTGAGGAGGGAAGCGGGGAAGGATGAGAGAAGACACCGGGGGTTTGTTTCAGAGGTTGAGATCCGCCGGACGAGCAGCTCTGACTCTCTACCTCCGAGTCTGAGACATAACACACTGCAAACTGCGGAGGAGGAGGAGGAGGAGGGACGCGCTCTCTCTCTCTACCTCTCCCCCTATCTCTCTCTCCTCTCCCCCGACCCACGTGACTGCAGAGCCTCTATCTACGGCGCTGGGAGCCCGACCGGAGAAAAGAGAGGCGAGGGATGGAGATGGAGAGAGATGGAGGGATGGAGGGATGGATGGGAGCCGGTGCGCACCGCAGAGGAGACGGGGTGAGAGGGAGCGAGACGCAGAGGTAGTCGCGCCCCTGATCGGTGGCTTTTTGCGGGAGTACTCGGAGAGTGGAGAGGCGGGAAGACCGTCGGTGCCGGTAATGAACTTGCAACAGTCTGCCTTCACGTTTCACGCATTGAACGCGCTCTCTCCTCCGACTCAAGTTCGTTTATTCGGCACCGACCAGAGGATCCGTCATCGCTGCATTGCCGCGTTGCACTGTTGCATGCGTGGATTTACCCCGTGTGTTGCAGACACATCGCTTCATTCTGCTCGTGCTTGTGACTTCGATACTCGTGCGTAATTTCAAGATAGTATTGGTTTTATCCCGTTTTCCCATTTTCTCGTGGAAATGGGAGATGTTGTAGTTCTATAACATAACCTTAGCAGCTTAATTCAAACTAATACTGATTCTTGTGCAGATGTCTAGAGTTGCAAAATTCTGAATGAACGGCGGATCTGGTGTGACATCGGCGTTCAGCGGTATTTCCCGCTGGCAGCTTGGGGAGGTTGTGGATGACGCGTGGCGCACAGACGGGAGCTACCCAGCTGCAGGTTCCACTTAAACGGTGATCTCTCTCTCTCAGCTCGGGATGACCGAACCTCCGACTTGTGAAACACGTTCAGCTCTAATGTTGCTATCAGGCGTCCGGATACAAGGCGAGCAGAAGCTCTGGCGTCGCCCCGTGCGTAAAATCTCCCCAGCGCTGCATGGAGGATTTTCCAGACACGGAGAGCGGGAGCGAAGCGTCAAAAATAAAACACAGTGAGGAGGAAAAGCGAGTCGTGGTAGAGAGAGGGGGTTGGGGGGTTGCAGACGGTATGGATGCGGGTAAATAGGGAAGTGGACTCCTCAGCTCTGCGGGAAAGGAGATTCAGGGGACTCTCGGACACTGCTGGTGTCCCGGCGCAAATGGAGAGGAGGGGAAATGTGTTCACGGCAGGATGTAGCCAGGGGAGTTTTCACCGAGTCAGCAGCAGCGATCTCACACACACACACACACACACACACACACACACACTGACGTTGCTGCCTCCAGGGTTTTGTACACTCTGGTAAGCCGCCTCTGTACCGCAGGTTTAACACTCTAACGAGGTTTAATGAAGTCTTGGATATGTTTGTCGTCTGTAGCCTGAAGCCTGAGACTGACGAGGTTACACAGATCCTCGGCATATGCGCATGTGACGTCGCTGACCTTTCCCGTGATGCCATTCCAGGTGATGTTCTGGCAGACCGTGGGAGCCAGAAGGATTGTTTCCACTCAGCCGGAAGAAGATGGAGACTGGAGGTTACTACACTTGACCTTACAATTAAAGGATATTTCTTGCAAATAAATGTGACTCAGAAATGTCTTTTAATTGTTTGGCTAAGTGTAGTTCGGCTATAGTGTTGGGATGAACCCCTGCTTGTGCTGCCTGCTGATGGACCCTCCAGTTTCAGCACCACACCGGACCGGACAGCTCCTCTGGATTCATAAGTCATTTACAGACTTTAGTTCTCTATATATGGAATCCTAGAAGGGACAAATGTGTCTGCATACAGTGTGAGCTACATGGCATTGATTGATAAATTGAGATACTACAAAAGCTTTATACAATCAATATTCAAGTCAATGAATTTAAACATGTATTTTGTTTGACACAAATTCATTTAACAAGATCAGGGGAAAACTGAAGAAAATTCAGGTATTTAAAAAACAAACACTAATTTGGTGTGGAACGCATTAGGACGCTGTCGAAAACACCACCATTAGTTGGACTTTTGATTCTTCTCTTGACTCTTCCCTTGAATTAATAAGTGTTATTTAGAGGTTAAAATCACACTCGGAAACATATAGTAGGTTTATTCAAGCACAGTCAACATTTTAGTTCTCGTCCCATCCGCCAAAATGTCAACTGTGCTTAAGTAAATCTGTTTTGGCACAAATGTTTGAATCAGAATTGTCAAAACTGTGAGTGACATCTCTTTTGAATAAATGTTTTTGTACTGATGAGGCTCTAAACCGATCAATGGACTTGTTGATAAGTGTGATCAGTTTATGTGGACTCTGAGGTGAGACAGGATCTGTGTGCTGACTGGAGGCCTGACGCATGTAAACACTTGCACTTCACCTTCTGTTTGCTCCCATCAAGATTATTGACTGTTCAAGCTCATCTTATAACACAGTGTCTCCTTCCACCCCCATTTACAATCAATACCTGTCATTATTTTCAACACTTTCTAATATCAACCTGACCATCATCAGTATGGATCAATACATGAACACATACTCATATAATCAAAGCCGATTAATATGAACTTAAATCCTCATTCATAAAATCACGATCCTCATCTTTATCAATACTGGTCAATACGTCAACATACAATCAAAACTCATCATCAGTGTTGTGACTACAGTCAATCATTGTTAGTACTGTGACATCATCCTCATCTCCCTCATTAATAATGCTCTCATCACCATCATCCTCAACATGTGGCACCATCATCTGATCAATTAATTAATTATTTCATAAGATTTAATCGTATGGAAGTTGTAACCATGAATTATAAATGATATATAAACTAATGATACATTAAAATGATTAAATCTATTTGTCAATATCTATATTTTTCATCCATCTCTAAACATATAGTCATATTATATTATGGCAATATCATATAATACTGACAATATATACTATAAAATGTATATTTTATATTTTATTGCTCTCCAAAGAAACCCACACATTTTTAAATTTGGTGATTTTTGATTTTTATGATAAACTGAGAGATACAGTGTTGATGAAAAGAACTATATACTATATTAGACTATGATATTAGATTCACATCATATTATTGTATTAATGCATCTTTTTATATTAAATAATTGGATCTTGATTGTTAATAGATTTTTGTTGCACATACACAAACACACACAACTGAAATGGCAACAGCCTGTTGCAGCAGCGTCACTGTTGTCCATTGATGGAACATCACTCCTCCTACTGGCAACAAGCTGTTACTGCGAGGCTTTTAGACTGAAAGAGAGAGAGAGACAGACACAAAACATGATGTGAATGTTAAACATGTCCACTATAGTAAAAATGGAAAATTCATCAGAGAATAGATTTAAGCATCAGTTAATCCCACACTCTGTTTTCTTTCACATCATTGCTCCTTCATAAAGGTTAAACAATGATGGTTAGGTTAAACGGCAGGTAGGTGGGGCAATATGTAGAATCTATGAGCAGTATTTGTTTATAACACACTGTAAAATAGCTGTAAGCAGATATAAGAACTTTTTAAACTGTTTATTAATGTATTCTTCAACATCTATAACTTCTCCTGCACTGTAGCAGTAGTATAAACAGTTAATGAATGACAAACAGTATAACACAGCAATTAAATTGTGGGTTTCGTAGCAGTGGGGTTGTGGGTTTAAATCCTGCCTGAAAGTTTTCCTACAAAAACACATTTGTGAATTCAGCACCACATATATGGAAAAATGCTTATGTTTAAATGCAAAAGTTTTTATCTTTTTATGTCTTAACTTATGGTCCAGGAAAGTATTATAGATTATACTGTGGGATCAAGCATTTTTTTATTTGTCAAGTTGACTTTCAGGCCTTGTTAACAGCCAGTGTATTGCTTCTTTTGGTTATAATTTGTTTGCATGATTCATAAAAGTGAAGTGATAATATTTATTCTGTCTGCTCCATGTTCTCTCTGCCACCTAGAGTTTAAAGATCTATTGCGTCTTGCTGCTTCTAAGTGGACTTGCCTGTGAAACTGAGAGGTGACTGCCTGAAGAAAAATCTGGAGCTCTGTTCAAAGTGAAGTCTCACTTTTGTTATGAAAGCCTTGATTCTGGATCGACTTTATTTCTCTCTGATGGAAACTTAATCTTCAGCTCGTCTTTTAAACTCAGCAGCTGAATCAACCCGGAGTGAACAGCCGTGCGATGACACAGCTGATCACACACAATAATCATCAGCTCTCAATCATTTGATATCATGTCAAATGTCTGCACAGAAATCATCCACTCACCCTGAAAAGATTCTGCTCCCTCCAAAAATAAACCTCCTCTCCTTTAGCTTCCTCCATCTGTTTTGTCGGCAGTAACTCCAGCGTGGATGACAATCTAATTGCATCCTCATCTCTCTCTGGTTTAATGGGCTGTCAGGTAGCATCATTACACACTGTCATTGCTTCCCTGCGCAGCTCACATATTGACAAAAAGTGACAATATGTGTGTGTGTGTTTGTGTAATGGAGGGAAGGTGCAAATTGTTTGAGGCTTGTACGGCATCATACAGCTAAAAAAGTTAAAGCAGGAAACCAGTGTGAACAT